AAAAATGATGAAAATGATTGTTTCATGAAGAAAATAGCAATGAATCTCTTATTTTGAAATGATTATTCTAATTTGTGTGTGTTCTGTTTTTATTAAAGGACAGAAAGAATGACAGGCCCCTTGCCCCTTAAACATCACAGCTACTGGAGTTGAAAGAGCGCTTTGGCAAACTGGTATTTCAGAACTTAGTTAAATACAGATCAGTTCCTTAGCAGCCTAAGCCCACCAAAGAAAATTCACTTTGAATTTTCAGTATAGATGGAAATTTTTTTAATTGAAAAGATAGATATTGAGCATCTCATTTTAAACCTTTTAATGAAAGTGCTGATTGAGGACCACATACCAGCCCCCTTGTTTAGCATCTTCCTTACTTAACAATGGTGCTTTATCATTGTGCATCTCTAAGACTTGCAAAGTGCTTTAAACAATGTTAATCATTTAATTGCTTCTGTGCCCTTGTAATATGGACATTATTTGAGCAAACTGAGTAAACTGAGGCTCAGAAAGTTTAAAAGGCTAAGCCTCAACTGAGACTACAACTTGAAGACAAACTCTCTTCTTTCCACGTTTTGCTTAAGACAACCATTTTTTTGATTTCAGAAAATACCAATTTTTTTCAAATTCTATAAACCCATAGATTTGTAGCCAGACTCTGATTATAATCAACTCTAAAAGAAAATCCTCTTTCCTGTAATCAGAATGTTAATAAAACTAGTGACAAGCACATGGTTCAACTTGAAAGTGACCACTTGTCAAAATACGCTCCCAGTCAGTGGTGTAGAACACATGTCCCCCAAAGGCCTGCCGGTTTTTTTTAAAGGTAACATGCAGCATTTTTATTTTTGCTTCCACCTATAACAACAAATTTCCTCCTGGAAAGAATGTATAGCAACCACTCAAGATCAAGTTAAACTATTTAGCTATTAAGTCGGCCATTAGAACATACTGGTTGAGGGGAATATATGCTGAAGTGAGCAAAGCAATGTTGTGTAGTAAACATTAGCTTCATAAAGTCCCTAAAACACTTAATTAATGAAAACCAAACATGGATAAAACCAATTTACCCTGATTTACAGACTCCCTTCATCTGGAAACAGCTGCTTAATGTTCTCCTTAAAAACACAGCTTGCTTCTTTCAGTATTAACAAGCTATTATTGTGAGTTATGTCTTTCTTTCAGTATATAAATTCACTTAAAACGAAGGCAGAGAAGTTTATAAAATGCAAGCTTAATGTTGATTTAACATATGCTGCAAGGATTTTTTTGAACATTGACAGTTTTGATGAAAGGCATCTCTCTTTGGCTCTCATAAATTTAGCTTTTTGCTTTTTCCTTGTTTTATAATGTCAGAAACAACTTCTACTTTCCAAAAATATATATACTTTGGTACAAACACAAAATGGTAGCATGAGTGAGGATTCAGAGATCATAAGCTTTGGTATCAGAAATGAGCTTACTTTTCTTTGACATAACCTCATACAAGTGTAGCACTAATTCCACAAATCTTTGATGGCTAGAAAGCTGTCAAGTGGATGAAGGAATTCTTACTTATTGAGACTGATCTGTGAAACTGGAATTAGCTATACTTAGAACACACATGCTCATGCTCACCAATTGTATGGGTTTTTCTAGCTTGGACATTCTAAATACCAAAAAAAAAAAGTTCCCTTTGTTCCACTGTATTTTGATTGAAGTCCTGTATTTTTAAATTTTCTGCCTTCACTTAAAAAATATTTTAAAATTCTGCAACTAATGAAGAAATGCTAGAAGTTAATACATGAAAGAATACCTTCTATTTATTATGTGTTAACAGTTAGATAAAGACTTTCTTTAAAAGCTGAAATAACCATTTCTATCATCACCTTCTTTATTTCCTCTCTCCTCAATCTTCCTAAAATGAGGTTATTCCATCTCTTCTCCATTGAATTTTACACTTTATTTGACAGTGAAATATGTCAAGTTAAAGGCTTCTTAGAATATGGCTATTAAACTATAGTATGTAGAATATTAATTGCAGAAGGTGCTGTGATGTTATATTTAAGTCAGGCATTTCTAGAAAATGACAAGACATTAAAAATATTTAAAAAGCTAACAGTCCTTTTGTCCCTGAAATGAAACAATGGCAAAACTCCAATAAAGATTGTTTAATGACTGTAAAAAGAGAACTTGTTTTTTGATATTTTTTGATATTTTGATACTCATTTTCTTCAAAAATGTCAGATTTTTATTAAAAACAGCTGCTTATCCTCTGTACTTCAGATGAATGAAAGGATTGAGACAGTTGTTAAATTGTGCCAATAAGTAGGACTGGGGGAGGAGCCAGAAGTTGGGAAATTAATAGAAATATCATCTGTTTAATATGTGTTAATGGGTATAAGTTTTCATATGCATTTAATACTGGCTCAAGCTCCACAACTCAGAGTCCCTCTCATATGCTTCCTTCAGCCACAGGCATTTTATACATGCTGTTCATACTCTTCTTCCCTTGGATAAATCCTACTTTCCTTGCAGATTTCAGCATCTTCTTAGGGAAACCTCCCCACTCCTTGATTCAGTCAATTTCCTCTCCACTCCAGGCTTTCTTAGCTCCTAGTACATCTCATTCATAATAATGGCATATGTTTATTTGTTGTGAATGGAACTGGCCCATAGTTTGAGTGATCATTAGAAAACTGCCACCCTTCACCTGAACTTTAAGTACCATGAGGCCAGGGACTGATTCTACTTTCATTCTCCATTTTTATCCTCAGAGTTTAGCAGAATAACTGGCACCTATTAGTAGGTGAAGGTATTAGTTTGAGTGAGTGAAGGTATTAGTGAATGAACAAGGGATGAGAATGGAGACTCATGACAAATAACACACTGCATATAAAACCACAAACATGAAAATTGTTGAGTACCAAAAAAAAAAAGAACAAACAGATGAGCAAGAAGCAATGAAGCTAGAAAAAATGGCAAGTTTAGGCCTTTACAAGCCTTTGTAGTAATCCAAAGAATTTGTACTAATCCAAAGAATTTGAGTAATTAAGTATCTTAGACACTATGAAGTATTTTAAACAGGAGAGAGGGTTGTTCCACTCTTCATTTTGGAAATCACTTAGGAGCAATGTGAGCTTAAAACTGGAAGAGGATATTAGAAGCAGGGAGATGAATTAGAAAGCCATGGCATCATTCAGATGATAGTTGATGAGGACTGAAACAGGGACAAAAGAAATGAGAACAGTTCCACTGTGACATTGGACATACTTCCATCTGGTTTCAAAAGCTTTTTGCCATGTTTTTCAGGTTGATCGGCAACCCCAGTTTATTCAAGGCTACCGAGTGATGTACCGTCAGACTTCAGGCCTGCAAGCGATGTCAACGTGGCAGAATTTAGATGCCAAAGTCCCAACTGAGCGCAGTGCTGTCTTAGTCAATCTGAAAAAGGGGGTGACTTATGAAATTAAAGTTCGACCATATTTTAACGAGTTCCAAGGAATGGATAGTGATGCTAAAACAGTTCGTACTACAGAAGAAGGTCAGTATTCAGATTTCTAACATCAACCAAACTGAAGTCATAAAGAAATCAATTTCCATTGACATTCTAGTTTATCATCTCCTTAGAAGAGTAGCAAGAGAGAATCTAAAACTGAATACAGAAAGTGTCATTTTCTCCTTTTATGCTAAGAACTCCACAGAATCTAACAACTCAAAAAAATGACATTCAGGTAATGAACTTCTCTTATGAAAACATTTGCTGCAAATCTTGCTCATCAATGCACTGGAATTTGATTATAACATTTTCCCATTTTTTTTTAACATAGGTTTAGTGCATTTGGCTTCATTAAAGGATAGGCTAATGGAAACTCAAGAACACAGGCCGTTCCTTGTCACTCCTCTATTTTTGGTGTCGTAAAGAATGACATTTTCTTTTATAAGCTTTTTTCCCTATGGGCTCTGCCTGTCTAATTCATAGTTTCTAATCTGGAAGATCACTTGCACATTTGCATTAGCATTATTCTTAGTGATATTCCCTCTCCCTCTCCCCTTTGTAACTTTTCTTGCCTGCAGATACTTTAAAGTCAGTCTGTGATGGACGTGAAATTAATATAGGTCTCAACCAGTCCATTTTGTAGTGTCTCCTTCACTAAACTAGAGGTTTATAATAAATGGTATCGTCAATGTACAAAAAATCAGATAAGTATAATAAATTCCTCCTTTTCTGCTTTTCTACTAATTTTAAGTACACTGTTCCAGTAAAAAGCCTTTTTTCTTTAACATATTGTATATAAATAAATGTAAGAGCAGCCTTAAGAAAATGTATGTAGATTGTTTATGCTAACATACAGATGTTCATGTTTGACCAAAGAGCTTTTTAATTATACATACCTTACAATAAGCAACACAGTGAAATGTTACCTTCACGTTGGTTTACAGTGTGATACACTGACATGGGCAGAAATGCATATTTTTAAAGGCATCATTAATCTACTTTTAGGATTTACAAAGGAAAAAATTACTAAAAATTAATAATAGTATCTTTATCCACCGTTGAGTTTTACTCTATGTTGAAAATGTGTAGAACTAATGAGTGGGGTGGGTACATTTAATACAGAATGCTACATTTGAAGCATACTTCCAAAAATCAATTTCACTGCAGTTAGACTTTTCCTCTAGATTAGAAACTTGTCACCATTCGGTATACCTTCATCTCTGATTCCTGTGGCCTCTGAAGGGAACAAAGGGAACTGAGCTGCGCTGTGTCTGGGAACGATGAGTGGGTTCTTTCACATCTGTATCTGGGATAATTGACCTGTCAGGAAACAGGCCTGGTGTTCTCACCAAGCCAGCAGTAAGGCAAATGGGAAAGCACTTTCCAAAAGTGCTGCTTTTCAGTGAAGTCTGCTTAATAACTACACAACTGGTAGCCAAACAGTTGGGTTTATGTCATTGTGCCATATCTTGGAGCAACGTTATCACAGAGGAATAATAAAGAACAGTATTGTGGTGATGTGTCTGTGTGTGTTTTGTACGCAATGCAAATATGACCATACTTCAGTGAAATATGTCACGACAGATTTGCCAAACACGGGAAACTTTGTTGATAGGCTTTTAAAATATCTTTTATGATTGAGTGTATTCATTTTCAAAGAACTGAACTGTAAAGTTATGAAAGCTTATATATGAAACTATTTCATACCACAAAATTAATTGAATTTTTTTAATTGTTACCGCTTCGGTTTTCCTTTATCAGCCTTTGGTTTAAACTCAGATATTCACTGAAATGGATAAGTTTTTCTGCAAAATTAGCACAGCTTAGCCCTCAGATACACTGGGTAGGAGATGTTGCAGTCCAAAGTCATGAATTTTTTCTTACTCATCTTTTCGAAGCACAATTTTAATTACTTATAGGAGAAACCATAAAAGAAGAGAATTGTAGGAAATTAAAATCTGCCCATTTCACATTTGACCCAACATGAACTGTTTTCATTTATATCTTCAGAGTTCCTTGCCCATCAATGTAAAATAAGTTTTAAATCTTAAACTATGGGT